AGAGAGAGAGACAGGAGAGAGGAATAGGAAAGAGGAAAGAAAGAGCAGGAAAGGGTGAGAAGAAAGCGAGTACTAGGAAGGTCCGATCGATCGAGTAGGCATTACCTTCGGGATCGAGAAGCCTCGTAACGCCATACTCGCGCTCCGCGACGTGGAAGACCCGGTCGAGCCGCTCTCGCGGTTGACTGGTACGAGCGCCTCTCCAATCGACCAGGTCTGGCCTGTTCCTGTGTATCAGCGCGCTGAACGCCAGACCATCCCTCCAGGACCCGGTGAAATCGGTCACGCGTACGCCAGGATAACGCGCTGTCGATCGTCTCGCCCATCTCAGCAGCGCCTCGCGGGCTGTCACGTTTGGTTCTTGACCCACTACTATGTCCGATATCTGTGGAACAAGGAAAAACACATTGCACATCGTTGGCTGATCCTCTTCGGCTACCTTCTACTCGCCGAACGCGTCTGCAACTGTTCGCAGATCGCCATTTCCATAGATTCTCCGATGAAAATGGGAATAAAGATCTCATTCGGCAAATAGAAGGCATCCCGATAACAATCGAACGAAAGCATCGGTTATCGCTGTGTAAATGTAAACCGCACAAATTGCATTTCACGTGCAATTAGTCTCGACACGGTGATACTTTTTTTTTTAATTCTCTGGTACTTGGTTCGCCCTTCGAAGTTCTCGCTACTCCAGCCCTCAAGTCACTTCACCGTCGTCCCCGTTCCCCAGCTTTCATTCAAACCAACTCACCCTGGCGGGTACTTATATTTATTTAGTCTGAAGAATACTCCAAGGAAAAATTCCTTGCTGCCGGGAAAGTCGAGAGGACTTTCGCGCTTCGCCCGAATAAACTAGCACCCTTGTAACGTTCTTATTACATCGACGCGAGTATGGATGCCAGAGGAATCATTGACTAGGGTGTTAAAAAAGCAGTTCGACTTCTCCTTTCTTAGCTTGCCTGTCTATTTTACGAAGCACTGCAATTTCTACTAGTCGTCGATTCTCAGTTTCCCTGATTACTTGACGGATGACACAGGGAAAAGCTAAGAAACTCGCGAGTTGCTATCCGTCATTAAACACTGCACCCCTAAAAGATAGGCTAATCTGTATGCGATTCACGGAATCCTTATCTTTGGACGAGTCCTCCTCTCCATTGATCCCTCGCTCAACGAACCATTTCCCCGTGATAATTCTTACCCGAACGGTTTTCGGTTTCGGCGACGCCTGACGACTCAACGAGTACGAAGCTGAAGAGGAAGCGGCGGTCTCCTGCAGGTATCCGGCTGCGGCGCGTTTCGTCAGATCCTCGGCCACGCATCTCTCCTCGCCGCGAGTCAGCGTGGTCGTTTTGCGAACGATCCGGGTCACGATACGTTTCGTGCCATTTTCACCGCGCCTCGACGTCTTCGTCGACTCGATCGACGATCCTAAATCGCAGCTTGGTCAATAACCGAGCGTGCATCAACGGACTTTCGCGAATATCCGGCTGGAGTCGTTCGTGTCAGCTCGGAAACCGACGAGCACGATTGGGATTCTCTGATTCTATGTTCGAAAAATGCCAAGCAACGCGATTGCAGTGTTTCCGGTTGATTGAACGCAAATCAATTCGAGTTATTAAATCAAAGAACGTACACAGTGATGTAGAGATACTCAAAGTCGTTTAAAAATATGTATTTCTATATATATCGTTAAATGACGATACGATAAGATAAAAAGCATTTGTGCCTAAGTAGAAAGTAGGGAAAAAGGAATGTACATCCGAGAAGAGAATTATTCAATGAACTTAATTCGATTTTACGGACCGTTACTTCGGTACTGTTAACAAAAGAACCGCGATCGTGTTGCCCGGCGCTTAAATTAGATAAACCCTGCTAGTCGGTCGCTTAATTTCTCTTTTTCCCTTGGTTTTACCACCCCGAAGGATCTACAGAGGATTCAGTACCGAGGTAACGAGCGAGAAACGTTGCCAGAGCCGAGATCGGCCAGCTGATTGGGAATCGCGTCACGATCTTAGCTTCTCGTCTCGGCTCGTCTACGCTCGGCTAGGCTTCGTTCCAACTTGGAGCCATCTACGACGATCGTGCCGCGAATCTCTTCGTTTGTTAGACCTCAGAGGTTTTAGGTACTTTGAGTTTGCGCCGTGAATTTTCGCGGAGAGATAAGATAACGGTGGAATTGTAGATCGTGAGCGCGATACGGGGCGAGCTCTTATCGCGCTTTTGGAGAATCGCTTCTTTTATTTGATGTTTGTGCTCCCGGCGAGACGCTAGCGTTGTGCAACTGGGAATCGCGTTGCTTCGAAACTTCGGAGGCAGGCAAATTATACGAGAGCACCTTTGGAAAGTTACGCGCGAAAGAATGCAAATTTCCCGCGTTTCCGATAAAGGAGTCTCAGCTTCGAGTCCTGAAATTCGAAGATCGCAATTGGAAATCTTGAAACTGCAAACTTGAAATCTACAATTCAATGCTGGCTGTTCGAGTCACTCTAGAATTGCTGGTCGAGCGCACGAACTCCGCATTCACCAGAAACTCCTGCATTCGCCAGGAAAGTTCACCAGCAACTTTCACCGAACCAACTTTAATCTAATCGAACCATACATTACCCTATCGTTTCGCAACTCGCCCATCGTCCGAACGCATTTCTCCAGGACACAATAGCACATAGTCGAGAACACCACTGCCACCGAATTCTCTAGCGACTCTCCTCGGCACGAGCCTCACCGATCAACCCTCAACCTCCCTCGACTCGTTCCTCGGTACTTGGACCCTCTATCCCGAGCCCTACCTAGAACCTCGGTAGACAATCTCCTTTTGGTATAAATCGCCGTGAGATCATCGTTAACGGGCGCGGCGGCTGGCGGGGCAGGCGTGACAACGTTCTCGCGAGGGTCATCCTCCCTCGTGCCCTGCACGAACAGCCTGCCGCCCTTGCTGAACCGATAGATCGACATCCCGACACTCCGTGGCCCGTGGATCGGGCGTCAAAGCCGCGAAGCTAGCGTCGACCGCCGGCGACAGCCTCGAGCCGACTCATTCGCAGGCCTTATGCGGCGGCCCGGCTCGCGACGTGCCTAGCCAGCTAGCTGGCTGGCTGTCCGCGTGAAAGCCGATTATCGAGGATCGACCCGGACCCCGCAACACCGTTCTTAACGCGCGGCGGGCTCGCGTCACCGGCCGGTAGGTCGATTCCTCGCGGATCGTGGTGCCGGCAGGTGGTCCGAACGGGAACACTCTGCCTTCCGGTTGCCTCGGGATCACCGTCGTCGAGTTCTCGGCGTTTTCGAGTGTTGTCAGGAGGAGGATACAGTGGACGGAGTGCGGAGGATAATCAACTTAGAGGGACTTTCAGATGAGGCTGCAATTTTCTGATCGTCCTGCTAACTTTCAGACTTTCGAGCGAGCTTCGACTTTCTGTCTGTTAGCGTTAGGAATGTTAGAGATCGTGGGCTTGGAGAATATTCGGAGTTAAGGCACAATCTTCCGATTGCCATGCGTCAAAGTTTCAGGTAAGTCCCAACTTACTGCGTTCGATCGCTCGAGATGCAGAAGGAAAACAATAATTTCGAAAACGCAGAGCATACGCGTAGATAAAAAGAAATCTCGCAGTGTTCTGCCGGTCGTCTCGCGAATCTCAACTTGTCGCGTGTTTTGCTCACGATCTCCCATTCAGGGGGCAAGATGCAGAGGACAAAAAGCCAGAGGAAAGGAAGTCGGAGGAGGCAGGAGGAGCCAGTGAACCAAAGTAAGTTTTCTCGGCGAAACGGTCGATTCCGCGGCGCGGAACCGTGTTTACAGGTTCGGTGTGACCAATGTCGTCAGCCCGTGAAACGAAGACAGGTAAACAGCGAGTAGTAGGGGAAGCAAAGGTCGTCGAAACGCTACGAGCACTTTTGCACGACAACACTAGAGCGAATCGGCGACTGGCCGGCCCCAACACGCGACCGATCGGCGAGTATCAATGCTTATCGGAGTCACTCGATTGCGGGAGGCAGCACTTCTCCCCGAAAACCAGCGCGCACTGCAGGCCACAGCCGAACTTGGGTCTTCGACACCTGGAGGCCCCCACTGCCGGTGTGTCTCCGAGGTTCTTTCAGCTCGGTCGGCCCTCGTTCGCTCGTAACGTCGCGTATCAACCGCGATTCCCACCGGTAAGGCTTCGCGACGCGGTCCCGAGCCGCGACACGTGGACTATGAACGTGTCGCAGGTCGTTTTTCCTTCGGTCGTTCGCGATCTGCCGATTCGCCGACGGTTTCGGTGCGAATTTCCGTTGGACCGCGCGCCACGCCGGAGGGCCGAGGATATCGATGTTACTCGGACGAGACACGACAGGACAACAGTCGCGATTCCGCACCGTGCCGACAGCGGTGCCGCGTTGGATCCGGCTGCCGTCGCGAGAGTAGGCCAACGAAATGCGCACAGGTGAGAGACGCCTCCGACCGGACTCCCCTCTCGGCTTCCCCACTCTCGCGATCTTCCTCTCTCGCTTCCTCTTTGTGTGCGTGCTCCTTTTTCTCTGTCATTCAACGCGCTTCTCTCTCTCCGACTCGCACCGAGCGTGTTCCCTTCCATTCTACGCGCGTGTCTCTGTCTTCCTTATTTCGGACGCGTAAATGTGCAGGTGGGCGTCTTTGTCTTTCGTCCTGCGCGCGTATACGGGTATCCTCGTTCGTCGCGCGAGTCGATGCGAGTCGATGTCGTTTTCCGTCTCTTTCATCCTGTGTGCATAAACGCGTCTCTCTCTTATTCCGCGAATGCACGTGTCTTCCTCTCTCTCCCTTGCATTCTTGCTCCGTGCATAAACATCTGCATCTTTCTCTCTCTGCCTCTCTCGTTTTACGGTTGTATAAGTAGCCGCGTGTCCTTGTTCGACGCGTGCACATAAAAATGCACCTCTCTTCTTCTCCCGTTTTACACTTGCATAAGTAGCTCCGCGTCCTTCTCTGACCGGTGCATTTCAGAATGCGCCTCTCTTTCCCTCTCGTTTCACACTTGCATCGGTAACTGCATACTTCTCCTTCGAGCTGTGCATATGAGAATGCATTTCTCTTGCTCCCCTGTACACACACAAGCAACGAATCACGCGTCCTTCTTTCTCGTCCAACGTGCACGAGCGCGCGTTCTCCGTTCCTCCCTCGTTCTTTGGCATTCCTGTCTCAGTCTCTTCCTTTCCCACTTTTTCCTCCTCCGCCGAATCCCCTCCTCGAGGCTACGTCGGCTGTCATGTCGCTTCAAGCCTCGTCCTGCCCACCCCTGTTCTCCTCGCGAGCGTCACCTCTTCCTTCGCTTCCTCGTTCATCCTTCTCCTCCTCCGCCTCCGCAATCCCCCACCGCGACCAGTGAGTCCCTTCCTTTCGCCTGAATCCTCTCGTCCTCGCGGACGTCC